TCTAGCTGCGCAATGTACAGAATTGTTACTTCTTGTGTACATATTACACAGAATTATTACACTATGTACAGTGTACGTAATTACAATTCCTGTCAAGTGTACGAGATTCATCTCCATTCAGCTGAACACTTCTCCAGGCTGAGGGACTGACCACCTCAAATACTTTTTCTCCAAGGTTGATGGACTGGTTAATTCTTTAATTTCACTACTACTGTTCCCTTTGTGTTTGACTGAAGAAGCCTACTGTGTAGGCGAAACGTTTTATCAATAAAGATACCCAACGGCTGCACGTGTGTCTAAATCTTCAACATGTTTGTTGTACAGAAATTTTTGAAACAAGGGAAGTGTGTCTTTCACATGATTATTCAGTCATAACTTTCTTGCCACAGGTTCGTCCAGTATAACCCTGGTTCCTCATCCCATCGTCTCTCTCTCTCTCTCCCTCTCTCCTACCAGCATTAGCACTGTTGTTCCATAACCCATAATCTATTTCTATCTTTCCTCTTCCATCATCATCACTGTAGCTCCATAACCCACAATCTCTCTCTCTCTCTCTCTCTCTCTCTCTCTCTCTCTCTCTCTCTCTCTCTCTCTCTCTCTCTCTCTCTCTCTCTCTCTTTCTTTCCTCTTCCAGCATCATCACTGTGGTTCCATAACCCACAATCCCTCACTTTCTCCTCTTCCTCCAGCATCACTGATTCCATAATCCACAGCATCTCACTGTTTCCCCTTCCTCACCACCCATTCATCTCCCCTCAAATTAAATACTTCCCTCATCTGCCACCCCACTCGTCTAAACCAGCATGTGACCTCCATGAACTGTATAAAATGGCCACCATCCATCTCGGTACACCACAAGACCACCTCCCCCAGTACAGTCTTGCACCTGGAGAGACGAGCGTTCAAATTTGTACATTTCTAATTCATCCGGGGGTAAATACACATTTCTTATAGATTTATGTAAACTATCATATCGTAACTTAACCAGAATATGCCAGTAGGTCTGTTATAGTGATCATTCTTATGTTTTAAAATGTCAATCAGATTCGACACTACCGAAAAAAGATACTTAGAACTCCCCGACAACTCTACTGCCAAACACAGCTCTTAGGAGCAGGCTGAGGGACTGATTACCTCGTCTTCCAGGTGATGCACATGTGTACTTCATCTTCTGCAGGAATGCACACCCTATGTAACAACCGTGTAACAAACCACGGTAAGGGTGGGGTTTGAATCCACGGCGGGTGAGTTATCACTCACTATGGTTTCAAATGCCACCCGTACAGTGGTGGTTTGTTTAAAATCGTATTATTACGATTTCGCGACCCATGACAAAGCTACCCAAGAAGTAATCTTCAATACATCAGATCGTCATCAAACTCAACCCCATGTCACTCGTATATTCTTCAGCTCACCATGCATCACTCACACCTCACTCTCCGCCTACATATCCTGTCTCATAAACATGTCCTAGTGTTTGCTTATGTGTTTTTCTAAGCCATTTTCAAAACCACCCAAGGTTTTAACTTCTATGACCCTACTTGGCAGATTACACTCACTGACAACTCGGTTTGAAACCCAGTACTCTGCCCTTGTGTCTTACCTAACACTCTGCCCTATGTGTCTTACCTAACACTCTGCCCTTTCACAGGAAAGGAAGAGAAGACAACCATAACAATGTCTGTGGAAAACAAGAATAACTCCTACAATACACACATTCTTCTCACTGGTTCAGTACTAATTGCCAGGAAGGATGACACTCTATAGACAAAGATGCCCTGAAGTGTACTCATTCGCGCCTCCATCAACTTCATCCAGAACGACTGTTTCTACAAGTCAGCTGACCCTCGAGCTTACAAAATTTCTACGTCGTTTGAAAATCAATGTGACCTAACCCTCATATCAACGTTGCTCACTTTTTTTACTCTCTCTCTCTCAACAGGTTTATCTGTTCAAGATTTGATAAAGGCCACCGCATGGGCGAAACGTCGTCTTTAATCATTCTGCACAGGTAAATGATGAAGAATTCCCTGTATCACTTGCCTAACCTATGGGCATGACATACTTCCACATGTGGATTTGCCCAGTGTGATATCGCCTATGACTGTTTCACCTCACCTGTCTGCAGTATACAAGCCATTCGAGCATATGCTGTATCCTTTACGAGACTGATGGACTGATTCCATCGACTCCAGGCTGAGGGACTAATTACCTCAAACTCCTGATCTTCACCACTCTTCTTTGTATAGGACTGATGAAGCCACTGTGTGACGAAACGTTTCCTCAATAAAGATACCAAAGGATTGCATATGTCCAATTTACCAGCTCTTGCCTGTATCCTGGGCTGTATTCTACTCAGTACAACAGCCTGCACAGCCTGTATCAGCACAGTTGAGTGTGTCCTGAAATCCTTTGCCTTCTCTCCTCCAGACTTGACATTCCCAATATTCCAATTCCAATGTCTCCCTCCCTCCCCCTCTCCTCACATTCCCATTCCACATCGACTTCCTGGCACCACACCCTTCCTACACCCCCAGCCTATCTTCTACTCATCTTGATCTTCCTGTGTGTATGTGTACTATGTGTGTGTGTGTGTACACTGTGTGTGTATTGTGTGTGTATATATACTGTGTGTGTGTGTGTACACTGTGTGTGTGTGTGTGTGTGTGTGTGTGTGTGTGTGTGTGTGTGTGTGTGTGTGTGTGTGTGTGTGTGTGTGTGTGTGTGTGTGTGTGTGTACACTGTGTGTACACTGTGTGTGTGTGTCCATTGTGTGTGTACACTGTGTGTGTGTACAGTGTGTGTGTATTGTGTGGGGGTGTGTGTGTGTGTGTTTAAGCGTGCATGAGTGTACACATGATTGCATGCGTGCATGAGCGTTTCTGCGCGAGAGCAGGCGTGTTTGTGTGCATGAGAGCGGGCGTGCAGGTGGCGCCAGAGGGGATGGGCGGCGGCGGGCGTGCGGGCGGCGAGATCAATGGGTTGTGAGTTGGTGTTTGCCCACTGTCGCACGGGCCGTTGCCCTCCTTAATTTATCGCTCCCCACAGGATTTTGAACTCGAAATCTCTTATTCTGGGTCAATTTATTGCTGGTCGTAGGGGTCACGAATCTCTCGACCAATTTGTTTTCGTCGAGAACACGGAAAAAAAAACACGCACACAGGAGTGGGATCCGAAATTTCTTTCGGACCGTCACAGACCGAGCCGCAGGGGCGTTGACCTCCGAAGCTCTCTCCAGATATATTCTAGGGCACCTTTCTTGGTAATGGTAATGCGTCAGTGCATAGTGAGTTTTTCCACTTTGTCTGGCGGCCAGAAAACAAACGGTACGTTTCAGAGACAACGGGGACAACAGAATATATAATACACACCTCTTCATCTTGCTGTTCCTCTCGTGGTACACTAGACACCGTTCCTGGTTCAAGCCATCAAGATTGACGACGGTTTTTAACATAAGAAAGGCGGAACACTGAAGTAGGCTTACTGGCCTACACTAGGTAAGTTCTTCTCAAGCCCAACCTATTTTCAATGCTACCCAAGATATAAGCTGATCTGGGATGGTTAGTCTGCCAGTGTTGTGGTCATGTCCTCCGGCGTCCGATCGTTGGAGGTGTCGATAACGACTTGTACAAGGCGAATTTAGTGGCATGTCTTGCCTGCCTGTTGCTGATTCTGGTAGTTGTCGATCCCGCGGCCGGTTCCAGAGCCAGACCTCTTGGCAGATGACTGATCAGTCTCCTGTAATCAACGGTACCATAGTAATCAGTGTGTCATGGAGAATAGTTGCACAAAGAACCGGGTTCGACATCACTAGTGAGCTTCTGCCATTCACTTACACTTCTTCCGTCACCTTGCAACATCACTTTCCAACATCACCTTCCATACCTGTCGGTATTTTATACCATTTTAATGTTCCATCACCTTCCATAAATAACAAAAAATGGCACAATACAGTGATTGGAACGAAACGTTTCGCCACACAGTGGCTTCTTCAGTCCATACAAAGGAAAAACTTGAAGAACAGGAGGAGAATGAGGTAATCAGTCCCTCCTCCTGTTCAAGTTTCTCCTTTGTATGGACTGATGAAGCCACTGTGTGGCGAAACGTTTCCTCAACAAAGATACCCAAGAGTTGCACATGTGTCTAATTCAACATGTCGGTTCTCTGAACCATTCATCTACAATCCTGTCAGACACTGCAACTTCTTGGGATCTTAATACTTGGGAATTCTTCACTTGCCTAACCCTTGGGCAGGACCTTCTTCCACATTGGACAAATGTGACACCACCTACGACTGCTGCCCCTCACCTGTCTACGGTTTATAAGCTGCTTCTCCGCTCATATACCGTATTCTATTCAAGATTGATGGACTGACCACATCGACTCAAGGCTGAGGGACTGATTACCTCATTCTCCTCCTTTTCTTCAAGTTTCTCCTTTGCATGGACTGATGAAGCCACTGTGTGGCGAAACGTTTCAACAAAGATACCCAAGAGTTGCACATGTGTCCAATTCAACAACATGTCGGTTCTCTGAACCATTCATCTACGATACACAAATAACCCGCACATAGAAGAGAGGAGCTTACGACGACGTTTCGGTCTGACCTGGACCATTGTGACTTTGTAAATGGTCCAAGTCGGACCGAAACGTCATCGTAAGCTGCTTCCATCATCATCACTTTCCATCACCTTCCATCATCATCACTTTCCAACATCACCTTCCATCATCATTACTATTTTATACTTATTTCTTAACACTTCCTTACATATAACCTCTTCGTACCTCTCCATTATCTCTCCCTTCCTCATCACTCATCTTTTCTAGCCTCTTCCCTATTCTTATCCCTTCCTTCATCCTCCCTTCCCCGTTTCCTTGCATTTCCAAGTGCCTTTCGTCTCCTCGTCTTGCTCCTGCTCCTCCTCCTTCCCTTTCCTTCCTTTCCTTTCCCATCCGCGAGGTCATCAACGTTCCACAGAGGCTAGAGGCGCACCACCCACCTTCTGGACAATGAAGAGCTCGTAAACGGCGCAGATGGCGATGACGGTGATGCCTTGTTCCTTGCACAGCATGGCGGTGGTGGCCAGAATCATGGCCAGCAGCAGCAGGCGCCAGTCGGTGGCCACGCGTGCCCCCCGGGGGCCCCGAACCTGCCGCGCCGTGGCCCCAGAGTAGGCCACCAGTGCTCCTAGGAAGAACAGCGAAGACAACGTCTCGGCGCGACCCACAACACCCGTTACCTGCAGGAACAAAAAGATGAAGGTGTTAGAGGGAAAACTGCGTGGAGCGAACATTAACAGTTTGAGTGATCTGGCCGTCAACATAAGAACAGTGCATAAGTGTTCGCAATACAGCGAACAGAATCCTTGGCTTCATATCAAGAAGTATAAATAATAGAAGTCCTCAGATTCTTCAACTCTATATATCTTTGGTTAGGCCTCATACGCTGCACAGTTCTGGTCTGGATATAAATGCTCTGAAAAACATACAGAGGAGGATGACAAAGTTGATCCCGTGTATCAGAAATCTTCCCTATGAGGATAGACTGAGGGCCCTGAATCTGCACTCTATTGAAAGGCGTAGAATTAGGGAGGATATGATTGAGGTGTATAAATGGAGAACAGGAATTAAGGGGATGTAAACAGCGCGCTAAAAATATCTAGCCAAGACAAGACTAGCAACAATGGTTTCAAGTTGGAAAAAAATCAGATTCAGGAAGGATATAGGAAAGCACTGGTTTGGTAATAGAGTTGTGGTTGAGTGGAACAAACTCCCGAGTACCGTCATAGAAGCTAAGACGTTGTGTAGTTGTGAGTTGGGTCTGACTAGCTTGTGCTAGAGGATCTGATGCCGTGCTCCTTCTTTAAGTGGATGTGACCTGACCTAACTAGGTTGGGTCATTGGGTCACTGCCTTATCCGACAAGAGCGTTGCTATTTAAACCAAAATCGTAAGTTTTACCTATATAAAGGTTTACCTATTTTACCTACATAAAGCGTCTGACATGAGTCTTCCGGGTATTTGGGAGTTGAAGTAAATCATAGTACATGAAGGAGTCATGAACAACAATTTAAAACAATAAAACACAATATTTTACACACACACACACACACACACACACACACACACCCCATTAATGAGCAGTTGGCATGGAACGTGCATTTACCAATGTTTGTTTTACAAGCATTTATTGAGACAAAGCTTTATCAAGTCATGGCTCGATGAAGCTGTACACAGAGCGACACGATGTCTCAGTAAAAGCTAGTTCTGCATGGTGTCTTTTCTTCAGTATTATCACCAGTGTTGAAGCGTACAACACTGTCTAGCAATTAGGTTAGTGCAACGAAGAACAGTGTGTATGAAAATTGAGAACCTGTGCAACATCTGGGTATGGAAATATAAACACACATGCAGCATAAAGTGATCCTTTATTGATTTATCAAGTCACAAACAGCCCACTGTGTGGGCGAAACGTTGTCAAAGGATCACATTGTACTGCATGTTGTTTATATTTCCATTGTGTCGGCATTTTATACCATTTATTTCCAACATCTGGGTATCTTTATTGTAGACGTTTCGCCATAGACTGGCTTTATCAATACAGATTCTAGGACATATTTTGAAGACAGTAGAACTATACACAAAAGATGAGGTAATCAGTCCCTCAGCCTTGAAGTTGGTGTGAAGAGCACCGTAGTCATGAAGATTCTGGCAGAATATTCAATTTTCATCTTGTCGGTATTGTATACCATTCTTATACAACAGTGTGTATGTAGTTACTAGTTGAAAGTTAAGACACATGTGCAACATCTGGATATCTTTATTGTAGTAGACGTTTCGCCATCCAGTGGCTTTATCAATACAGATTCTAGGACATAATAGGAAGACAGTAGAACTATATACAAAAGATGAAGTAATCAGTCCGTCGGCCTTGGAGTTAGTGTTCACAGCATCGTGGTGGAGGAGAGTCTGGAGCAAAGGCAAGAAGACTGGCGCTTTTTATAGGCGTCAGTGAATGGGACGGGCAGCAGACGAGGGCAGTCACTGGTAGGCGGGATTCCCCAGTGGAAGTAGGTCCTTCCCAAAGAGATGGGTTAGTTGCAGCATTATTATTATTATAATCAAGGGGGAAGCGCTAAACCCGGAGGATTATACAGCGCCTGGGGGGGGGATGTGGAAGGCATTCAGGCTTAATTCGGGGAACTGGAGCACAGATCCAATTCCCTAAATCAAGAGCCCCTCACCAACATCAAGGAACCTTCCTTGAGGGGTTAGTTGCAGCAGCCGTGAAGAAGGTCTTGTAGATGTCCTCTGAACCAAGATTCCATGATGTTGCAGTGTCTGACAAGTTGTGCAAGAAAGGTATAAAATACCGGTATTTTATACCTTTCTTGCACAACTTGTCAGACACTGCAACATTAACTTTCATATTGTCGGTATTTTATACCTTTCTTGCACAACTAGTTACTAGTTGTCAAAGGCACTTGTTGGTAAACACTTTATCCATCTTGTCGATGGTAGCGCCTGAACATGTTAATACACGAAAGGCTTAGGAAGTAGGCCCCCAAAGGGGTAAACAGAAGGACATCTAGATTTATATCTACAATTTGTTAACAGAAGAGACCAGGAAAGAAAAAGTAAGAGGGGTCCCGCCCATTCACCACAACTGTCAGACACTGCAGCATCACGGGATCTTGTTACAAAGAATTCTTCAACACTTGTCCAACCTTTGGACGAAGACCTACTTCGACTAGTGGATGGTACCACTATGACCCCGCCTCCTCCTGCTTCGCCTCACCTGACTACAGTATATAAGCCACGTCTACGGCCCTATGCTGTACATTCTACAAGAGTGATGGACTGAACACATCGACTCCAGGCTAAGGGACCGATTACCTCAAACTCCTCCTCTCCTTACACCTTTCTACTCTGTATGGGACTGATGAAGCCACTGTGTGGCGAAACGTTTACTGAATAAAGATTCCCATATGTTGCACAAGTGTCTCAATCTTCAACTTGTCGGTTTTTCAAACCATTCATCACAGGGCAGCGGTAGAAATATATCAACTTGCAACACGTTCCTGAACTAAAAACATCCATTCAAGTCTATAAATCTAACAGTAAAAGAAGAACGTTCAGCATTATCGTAGTTATTACTAATACTTCTTGAACATTACTATCTACTATACAACTCATCACTACTACTCAAACTTAGCTAGGTTTCCAATATGTAACTGTCAAATGGAATAGGCTGCCACCAAACAGATCTATCCGATTTTGCTTAAAAAAAATCTGCAGTTGCCTAGTACAACAATTATTACTACTGCTACCACTGCTGCTACTCTTTCTACTGCTATCACGTTTAGTGCTTCTGTCATTTCTAATAAATAACAAAAAAAAAAGACACAAAACCGTGACTGGAACGATACGCAAATAACCCGCACATAGAAGAGAGGAGCTTACGACGACGTTTCGGTCCGACTTGGACCATTTACAAAGTCACACTAACGAAAAGGAGAGGAGGGAGTATATATAGACAAGGTAGTAGTGGTAGTAGTGGAGGTAGAAGGTAGTGGTGGGGAAGGTCGTATGGAGGAGGTGGAGCCAGTCAAATACTAAGAAAGAGGAGCACTGCAAGGGAGCTAGGTACCCACAGAGGGTAGGAGCAAGAACACAGAGGGGGGGGGGATAAAAAGTGAAGGAACAAATACCAAGGCAGAAGCCAACCCAAAGGAGAAAGAGGAAAGGGGAAGAGGGAGAAGAAGAAAAAGGAATCAGGTTAAGTCACGGGTGTTCTGAAGTTTGGAGCATTTTACAATGTAGTGGGAGAGGAAGGCATCTAGAGAGACGAAGCCAGGACTAAGATTCATACAAGGAAAGTCGTGTATAAGGGAGGATTCAACCAGACGGCGACTGTTAAAGTTGGAAGTAGGGAAGACAGTTTTAGCAGAAGGTCAGTGAACAGGATGACAGTGATCTCTGACGTGACAGAAAAGAGCATTGTTAGTGTCGGCAAGCCGAACACTACTTTTGTGCTCCCTAAGTCTGTCAGAAAGAGATCGGCCAGTTTCTCCCAAGTACTTGAAGAGGACAGGAGGAACAAGAAATAAAGTAGACACCAGGAGCATCTATAGAGGGAGGAGAGGTATGAACTACATTAGTGGAAAGTGTGTTAGTCTGGCGGAAAGTAAGTTTGATGTCTAGGGAACGGAGTGTTGTTGAGATTAGAAAGACCGGAAATGTAGAGAAGGCAGAGGACAGAAGAGTTCCCAGGAGTAGAGAATTTGGGAGAGAAGAAATTACATTTAGCACGTGAGAAGGCAGAGTCTATGAAATGGGAAGGGTAGCCAAGACGGGAAAATGAATTATGAAGAGTGGAAATTTCTGATTCAAGGAAATGAGAATCACAAATGCGGAGAGCAAGGAGAAAGAAGGAGATAAGAACACTTTTCTTGACAGAGGAAGCATGATAAGAAAAGTAGTGAATGTACATGCCACTGTGCATAGGTTTGCGATAAACGGAAAAGGCAAAACCTGTATCTGAGCGGTGGACATGAACATCAAGGAAAGGAAGCAAGGAATTAGATTCCCATTCAGCTTTAAACTTAATGGAAGGGGCAAGATTATTAAGAGCATCAAGAAATGGTTGGAAGAGACAAGAGTCATGAGGCCACAGAGCAAAGATGTCATCCACGTAGAGGAGCCAGAGTGAAGGGCGCACATCGATAGTAGGAAGAACAGTCTCGAAGTATTCCATGTAAAGATTAGAAAGTTAGTGTGAGTTTGTAAATGGTCCAAGTCGGACCGAAATGTCGTCGTAAGCTCCTCTCTTCTATGTGCGGGTTATGTGTATGTCATTACTAATACTTTAATAATGTTACTACCAACGTCACTGCTACCTCTACTACTTTCACTGCTACTTATTACTACTACTTTTAAAAAAATTCCTGCTACTACCAACGTTGTTGTTATACTTAAACTACAATTATCACTACTTCCATTACCACTACTGCTATTATACGACTAACTACCGCTTTAATATTGCTATCTCTGCTACTACCACTAATACCACTCTTATCACTGTTACTACTACTAGTAGTACTACTATCACTACTTCGAAAGGAGACAAGATAGAATAACATCCTTGGAGAAGGGTCGGCATACGTCAGGATTGGGCTCTGAAGTGAGCTAATGAAGGATAACAGCATCCTTAGGCAAAGGAGTAGTATACCACAGGCCTG